TATATATATATATATATATATATATATATATATCTGTATTATATATAAATATATTTGATAATTTTTTGATAGATAGATAGATAGGAAGAAGATAGATAGATAGATGAATATTTGATAGATAGATAGTATGAATATTTGATAGATAGATAGTATGAAGATAGATAGATAGTATGAAGATATATAGATAGTATGAAGATAGATAGATAGTGTGAAGATAGATAGATAGATGGATATTTGATAGATAGATAAACTTGATTACCGTCTAAAACTCTGACAAGTAGTTACTAGCAGAGGGTTGGTCGTGTTGTGTCAGTCTAACTCAATCCCTCCGTGAAGAAACACTCACGCTTCCTGCCACACCGCTCAAATACGTTAAATCAATTTATTCTGCGCTCAATCATAATATAAACCAAACGCGCGTTTTGAAGTTTTCAACCTTGCTTCACAAGTTGACCCCTCCGCGCATAGGTCTCCATGCAAGCAAGGAATTAAAGTAGAGAACTGTGTGACGTCACATCAAGATATAGTAAACCCTTCAGGGTGTTAAAGGCAGGTTTAAAGGGACTGTAAACGTAATTTGAGGCGACCCTCCATTAAATCGATTCACACGGGTACCCTGTTAACCTATATCTGAGTAACAAGGAGGAAGATAAAAATTCTGTCAAGTTTATCCGCAAGTTACTTGAACACCGAAAACCTCTAATTATTTAAAATAAATTTTTTAGCGAGAAAACAGGTTGTCTCATGTTCTACCTTGATCAGACTAAGATATAAAGAATAAAGAATATTGTTACGAATTTAAATTGAAATATAATCTACAGTCCCTTTAAACCAGGGTGTACAAAGTACGAAGTACAAAGTACAAAGTACGAAGTACGAAGTACAGAGGATGGGAGATAGACTTGTGAGGGATAGACTACCGGAATTAAGTTTTCAAGTTGGCGGCCATAGAACTATGAAGGTACAAGCTTTCTAATTGATATTAAATATTTATGACACATATTTTCACAATGCATGGTATTAAATAGGTTGAGTAAAATTAAATATTGTATAGGTTGAGTAAAATTAAATATTGAATAGGTTGAGTAAAATGAAATATTGNATCAAGTTTGATAATTTTCAATTGTGGTTTCTCGAAAAGAGTGGCTTACGGATTTATGCTGGAGGAGAAACAATAAACGAAATGGTCAAAATTGAATAATGGAGGGTAACCTAATACTACGTACACAGTCCCTTTATAATTATTTACAACTACTTTACAGGGAAGTTACGGGAATTTCACTTTACCAAGGGTCCCAAGACCAATTTAGCTTACAAAACATCCAGAGCGCAGCAAGGGATGTTTTGTAGGCAGCATTGGTCGAGGGAACCCGTGGTTAAGTAAGATTTTTAATTTGCCGAAAAAGTAGTTGTACATAATTTTAACTTCGCAGAGCGAGTGGTTATTTTACATAACTGTCCCAAGGGACGTTGAGTAACTTAACCTCCCTCTGTTGGGAGAATCATAGGTCAGTATTATAATGAAAAAATGCGCTAAAATATATAATTTTAGGTTTACAGAGACAATTATGTTTGTAAACCCCTGGATAGAAGAGAAGAAAAGTTTTATTCAACATTCCCTAAAATATTAGGTAATTCAGTGTGCTGCACGCCACCTGGAAAATTTTTGACTAATTGGTTTTTTGGCTTTTCATAAAAGTGAAAGTTGCAAGTAAAATATTTTTTTTTATGTTCTTTACAGTGCAGTGCTGTGCATTACAATGCAGTACAGTGCAGCACCGTTCATTACAGTGCAGTATAGTGCAGTACATTGCAGTACATTGCAGTAGAACGCAGTAAATTGTAGTACAGTGCATTATATGGCATTTCAGTGCAGTATAGTGCAGTACAATTCAGTACAGTGCAGAACAGTGCAAATACAGTACAATAAAGTGAAATACAATGCAGTACAGCGCAATATACAGTGCTCATATATATATATACATTACATGTACAATATAAGATACACATTCATGTAAATATAAACATTGCATATACAATATATTTTCTTTTATGAACAAAATGTCATAAAGTATAAAGTATGAAGTATATAAAGTATATAAAGACTGAAGTATACCTTAATATAATTGTTTTTATGAACTGCTGAAATGATTGATTGATTGACTAACTGAAGGTTATGTTCTTGTTGATTTATTTTATTCTATCTATCTATCTATTAAACTGCGTATTGCGTATTTAGATCGAAACACATAGAACATTAAATGCATCAGAAAACAAAATTCTTATCAATTTAATATGTAAAATACCTAATCGAAAAACATTTTTTAAGCTTTAAAAGTAATGTTGTAAGTTGAAACCTATAATTCGTGATATAAATATTTTTTTTCGAGTTTATCAAACGAAAAATTGTTTTGTAATTTATAAATTTTTAAAAGAAAAATTTTTTTCAGAACCGTTTATTCCTAAGTTTGCTGGAGTTCTAACAGTTGGAAGGTAATTTTAAAAATCTCAAATATAATTCATAAACTGTAGAAAAGAAAGACGACATCTTGTAGAATACATCTTATGTTCACATGGGTTTACTGTGGTTTTAAGAACGAACACATTTTTCCGTGAACGAAGTTGTCGTTCAGAGAAAGACGGACGATGGACGAACGACTTTGATCGGTTAGAGAAATAAAAATATATCGTTTTTTAGAAACGAACGATCGTTCATGAACGATTTAGTTTTTTACTGAACGAACAAATTTTCTGAACGATTTTGAAAAGCATTATTTCTTACTGAACAAACGGTTTTTAAGAAAAACTTTGGAAAAAAAACAATCGTATTTTTACCGATAGAACTGTTTTATTTAACGGACGAGTTTACTGAATGATCGTTCAGTGAGAACAGGAACAAAACATCTGGAAAATCAACAATAATTTTGAGAACAAACAAAATCATTTTTATATACGATCGAAAAGAACTAAAACAATGGAGCGCGTTTACTGAGGAAATGAAAAAAAGCCAAAAGTGTTCATCTCTAACCATTCATTAATTACATAAACTATTAAATTTACATTTAATATGAAATAATTTATTTTGTTAGATACTTGATATTTTTTACCAGTATTCCCAATAAAAACATAAAAAAATTACAAAAATTAGCAATTTAATTTTAAATTGCTTTTAATTTAATAACATCGTGAATAAAAAGTTAACACTTTAGGTTATAATAGGGGAAAGAAATAAAGTAGGGTGCAGAATAAATGCACCCCCCCCCCCTCTTCTTCAGGAAAAACCTTCCACACCATACTGTCATTCAGTGTACACTCGTATGCAGTATAAGCGGAAAATCCCCAATTTTTTCATAATTATTTAAACTTTCCTATATACAGTGTGTCCCACGAAACATGAAAGTTGGAGAATAGTTCAAAATGTCTTCTTCGATAATTTTTTCAGGTTGTTTGATACCAACTAGAATTATAAAAAATATTACATGGTAGTCATATTATATTAAAATTAATTTCAAAGAAAAAAACTGCAAAATGACTGTTATAACTAATATAGTTTATTGAAGAAGACCTTCAAAACTATATTCACCAACTGTCATATTTCGTGGGACACCCTGTAGTACAGTAAGCAGCATGCAGAACCTCATGTTCAAATAAATTAAGGCAGGAAAAATGCAAACATTGAAATCAAGATTGATATCGTTCTTACGGAAAAAAGGATTGTCAACGTACTTTAAACTGGGGTATGTACTGGGGTATGCACTGGGGTATGTACTGGGGTATGTAGTGGGGTATGATCGATTTGCCAAATGTTTAGTTCTCCGAAATTTTCTTGATTTTTTGTAAAAGTATAAAAATTACATAATTTCTTTTTCCTCTACAAGGGTATATATTTTCATAAAAAATAACACTCCTAAATGTGGAAAATTTTAGTGCTCTGGCCAGTTTTATAACTCCGCGTTTCAACTTTTAGATGATTTAAAACATTTTTCCGCTCGCCGAATGATTTTTAGAAAAGTTAAATTTTTAAAAGAATTATTTCGATAAAAATCAATATGAGGGCGCGTTTGTATATATAAGAATTTAATTTTTATTGTACCGCTACCGTAATTTAAATATATATACATATTATATATAAATAAATCACCAAAGAACTGCCTTACTGTTAAATTTTACAGGAACATAAAAATATTTCACTATTTCGCGCATTTTATCTTTTTTTTTACAACTCAGCAACAGCTTATTATGCAACAAAATAAAAGATAAGATATTTTTTCTAAAGTATTTTGTTCTAATTTTCTAGTTTTGTAACAAAGGCAATTATTTATAATCTACAGCAAACAAGATAAGTGTTAAAACAAACATTTTTATTTTCATTTGTTTGTCTTTACAGTGCGTAAAAGGGATTTATGCTAATTTTGAACAAAGCTTAGCTTAAAGAGAAAGTTCTTTAAATTAAGGAAATATATTTTTAAATTTATTAAATTTTTTTAATGTTTTGTTGAGTTTCTAAACTGAACTTTGATCAAATATTTCTTTCAAAATTTGTTTATGATTTTGTATAGTTTTATTTTTTGATGCTAAAAATTCTAAATTTTATTTCTGACTTCACACAAATCGTGCATGTACAAACTAGCCTGACTTTGATCGTGCTGATTTTTGTTTCTTTTTTATCTTTGCTCTTTGGTTGAATTTTGCTCATAGGTTCTTGAAAAAAAAAACTCTAATTCGTCAGCGATAAAACCCTTAAGATTATGAAACCTATAGCTTGCATACAAGCCCTTTAAAGGTACTGTTAACATAATTTCACGTGACTCTGCATTCCCTATTCACAACGGTACCCTTGAAGCTTTTATCTGAACATTAATATATAAGATATTTTTGATTTTTGAAGGTTTAAAACTGTTTAATTGTGATAATCCATCTATTACAGTAGAAATGCACAAGCTAGAGAAACCACAATAGAAAAGATTTAGTTTATTAGATATCTTATTAATACTTTATCAGCCGAAGTCACACCGGACTAACCAGAGTGAGCAGCATTCGGTTTCTTCTATTTGAAATCAAACGTATTTTAGTCTATATTTCAATAATCATTTACTTTACTGATTTGTTTATTTTATACATTTTCATTCAAAATGCATATGCCAACAATAAAGTATTTGAGAAAAAGTCTAACAAATTATGTTTAATGGGTCAAATTGTGATCGAAAGTCACAGTTTTCTGGAATATTGACAGAACCGTTAAATCCACATGATGTGATTCGGACAGTGTCATATTTGCAAATTATCCCTTTAAGATAAGAACTGCCTAATTCACGTGTTTAAGAATTTTTTAAAGTGTGCTTTAAAAAGCAAATATTTATAATCTTATCTTTACAATAAAAGTTACAGTCCACAGAAACTGTGGCTTGAAAAAAAGAAAAGAAA